CCATCCAGGAGTTTCGGGTTTCTAGAATTCCCTAGTATCCTACTTAAATAAGGAAAATAATATTGTATACCTAGTTTTTATCTATATCAAAATCAGTCCAGTAGTTTCGACCGGACAAATAGGGAAAAATATGTGCGAAACATTCGTTCACTATCACAAATCAATTTGAGACAAAAAGTTTTAACGCCGCTTTGTTATTGGAATTTTTCTGGCTTAAGTTTTTTGCTAATTGTTGCAGGCAATTGAACTTGGTTTGGTGTTCTGAAGCTTAGACTATTATCTATTCAGAAATAAAACACTTTAACTGTTTAAAACGCGATATATATTAATTAAACCTATTTGTATCCGAAACGTCGAAACTAATATATAACGCGTTTTAAACAGTTAAAGTATTTTATTTAAATGTGTACTACTCGCGTAAAATACAGGCATTAATTTGTTTATATGTTTTCATAATATATATCATAGTTTGAGTTATTTTCTTTGACCTTCAATTATAGAGTTTTCTACAATACCTACAAATATCACATTCATACCGAGTTGATCTCTCAGTTAAAGGGTTCCGTAGTAGTACTCTTTTGTAATTTTTAGAGCGACAAAAACTCATTACTATTTTTTTTTGTTTTCGTGTATTTGTTTACTTGATTTTGTTATATCACTGTAAATATATTGCTATTTTACTTGTCGTATTTTCTCTATAATGCAATTAAATCTATATGTTTATGTTTACTTATGTATGTACTTATTTTAAAACCCCCTTTTTTAAAACTCGGAAGAATCGATATTTTTACACCCCTACTCTACTTTATTCTTAAATTACCTAGAGCCTGGCGAAAAATAAACAATTTTTCAATTTAAACATTTTTTTTTTTTTTATCCTTTGGGTACAGAATCATAATTATAACACACTGAACCTGAGTAATATTTATTTTTAACGTGTATGTAGTCCGCTAACATAAATTTTATTTTATTGTAGCAATTATTGGGGTAAAAACCATTTAAATAAGTTTTTATAGATGTTAAAATTGATTTCTTTAATATACATTATTGTAACAACCCAAACGATCTATTAACTTGCGAATCATTTTATCTAAACATGTCATTAATTGATCAACAATCCTAAGTTTTAATTGGTCTTCACTATAATTAAATGATCAAAAGTAATGACCAGTCAATTACTTAATTACAATGCGAGTTTAAGAAATACTAGATAGTCTATACTTGTTTAATACTGTTAAATAATAATAATTATAAATAAATTTTAAAAAGTTTTGTCATTTCACAGGTTTTTAAGATACTTTAATTAATTTAACCCACATTTACTAGTATTATTGTTAATTAATACTTTTCAAAAGCATATTTGTGTTTTGTTTTATATCATTTTACCATCTCTTTTTTACTCTTATTATAGTAGGAATTAGTATTATTTTAATTACTTACTCTCTACTGTACAGAGATGCTTACTTAGGAAGCATTTAAACCAGTAGCATATTATATTCGTTTTTTTTTATTTCAGACACTTCTAAACAGAAAACAAAAACATAAAAGTGATTACTACTCGTTTAGTCATACTGAATTATTTCATAATTAAGTGTCTATGTATATAAATTATATAATATGTTTGTATATTCCTTTCCATTCAATTTTTATCTTAGAAGTGACAAGAGAACGGTACGGTGCTAATAATTCAAGTGTATTTATTCACCTGCTGTCAAAGTTTACCGACCTACATACTAGAAAACGTCTCACTTAAAAGTGTGCATGTTTTCCGAACATTCCAACTTATGACAAGTATCTAATGAATATATTATTTGTTTATAAAGCAATAACGGATTTTTTATGGCCTCAACGTCCTACGCATAGGTTACTAGTTCTTAAATCTACGTACTTTAATATTCTCTCGAGTGTAGCAACCAAAACTATCTTTAAGTAACTTTAAGTTATTCAATACTGAGATAAATTTTATGATTATTTTTATAATATAAAGAATGTCGACTGCTCTTTACTTAGAGGGTATCTTTTCCAAGTTTTTGTTTACAGATTATGAAGCTTCTTTTTGTTTTATAAGTTGCCTCTTTAATGAACAACAAGTCATTAAAGTGTGTTAATATATAAACAAATTAAAATTGAGAGATTAGTAGATACTTGTTTTTTTTGCATACCTCCCTAATAACTCTTATTTTAAAACCGTTTAAGCTTTGTTACTATAACAATAAAAATGTAAATAAATAATTTCGTAAATCTCAATAGCATCACGAATTCAATATGACGTAAGGAATTGACTTGCAAAACTGTTACACAACTGCATCCGAGCAATAAACAAGATAAAATCTCCAAAGTTTGACCGAAAGCTAAAAGACCGTTTATAGGGACATAAACGTTTATGGAATCATAAAGTACGCTATCTATTGTTCGGCGTCCTACGCAGTCGCCCGCGTAACTAATCGAGACATTCTTTTGTCTCCGCCGGACACATAATCAATTGTCACCTCTACTTTAGGTGGGTCTCCACTGTGCGATCTAACAAGCGAGGCGGCCTCAGGTGTTTGCCTTTTAAACCAGCTCTTAAACCGAGACGGAAAGCCGTGACTACGCAAGGCAAGCTTCCTGAGGCTCGTTGAGAATTAATGACAGCTGGCTCTGGGCTGCAGTAACTTCAGGCGAGGCAACGTTTTGACTGAAGATAAAAGGAGTGACGGCGTGTTTCTTGCCAGTTTTTCTTTTTCGGTCTAAGCCCTTCTTTGCGAACTGGTAGTAAATGTAAAGTTACATTCTTAGTTTTATGACTATTGAACCTAGTTACCTACATGAATAAATGATTTTTTACTGTTAAATGTTTTACTGACGTTGATACCCGCGTGGCTGCCTCGCATCAGTGGAGACAAACTTATGGAACAGCTACGTTCTCGATGTCCTATATCCATTTGGAACCGGTTCCTATGGCGTCTCGGAATATCGGGTTGCAAAGAAAAAAGGTGACGAGTGTATATGGGTAATGCCAGCGCAAATAGATGACCCTCGCTTCAGAACACGAGAATCGATAGACACCATTTAACTCGGACATCGAATCCGGCTGTATCATGTTACAGGCAATAATTAAGATATTTGCTGTCGTCGCGTCGGTTCTTTATCGCTGGCTATTATTTTAATATTGATATATAATTTTCCCATTATTCTAATCAGTCATAGGATTTATTTGGCACCGGTATGTGGGAATGTGGTTACGTGGACTCGTATGGTAGAGGGCAGTCGCGGCGACCACGCGCTACATTTTTGAATTATCCTAAACAATAGTGGAGGATGATGGTGTATTTTTTTTATTATCATATATCTATCGTCATCATTTAATTGAAAACAAATTTATGTTAAGTACGGTAAAATAAAAAAGACATAAAAGTGAATTACTTGAATAATTAATAGAGGTTCAAGGTGGCCTCATAAGTTGTCCAACTACATAAATGAAATATATGTATATTTTGAAAAAATTACTTAAAATGTTTTATATGACATTAAACTTTCAGTAAGTAAAAAAAGTAATCAAACAATTCAAACAAACTAACTAAGTAATCTAATTTAGTTTTTTAACAAACAAAACATAAGAATCTCCATTTTTTTAACTGTAGTTTACGCGAGTAGTATTTAAATAAAACACTAACAGTTTAGAACTCGAAATATATTAATTAAACTTATTTAAAAATTATTTTTACTACCCGAAGTTTCGGATGCATTGCAGCAACCGGAGAGACGTCGCACCGTAGTAAAAAAGATTTGTAAATAAGTTAAACTAGTATATTTAACATTTTAAACCGTTAAAATGTTTTATTTCAACTTTACACGTAACCATAGCAATCACTTATTGTTATGCAAATCTCCTTTCACCTCTCAAACAAGAAGGGACACCGCGTCGCAATCTATAGCCAATTAAAGTTGTGTATATTCATCGGTCAGAGCATGATTTATAGATTCGCAGCGGGAAACGCGATCGGCGCGAGCGCACGTCTCTGTTGATCATCAAAATTAAAACTTTAGGCCTCACGGTGATCTTATCCGCCGATCAATTTAGATAAAACAAATATTTATACAATACGGGCGGACAAATAAAGCGATTCAGATAATTGATTATGACTGTGGAGTTCTCTTCATTTGTTTTATTCGTTTGGTAGCGATTGTTAAAAATATCCTTTATATATACACTAAACTAAGCCTGGGTTTCAGTGATACAGAGCAAGAAAAACATTTCTTTTTATCGTAGTTTTTCAAGCATTTAATCACATTGTATTCCCGTATTTTGTATCTACTTCGCTATAAATACCTAATAGGTATACAATAACTACTAATCACACATATTATGATTAGACGTAAATTTATTACAGAGATAGAGATGATGTTTTTTGTCAATAATTGTGTGTATTGTTAAATTTAAAACCGATGATTCGCAAGAACTTAGCAAAAAGTGTATGAAATAAAATACGTGAAGTAGACAAAAATATTAATTTATTTATACTCTGCATTTGGAAGCGTAATAAATACGTTGTTTTTATAATACAATTATATCCTAGCTAAAAATTACATCACAAATTATATACTTATCTTAGCGATGCCTATTTACAAATTGACTAGGGTACAATTCAGTTCTTCGTAAGATTTATTATAAAACATATGTACATCATTATTTTACACGTCTCATTTCGATACAAAGTAATTATAATAAGTACCTATATTATCACAAGTTAGTCATATTCTGAAACATTCTTTCAGGAACGTACAGGCTTATTATGATAAGATAAGGAATGTGTTTTCAACGCCCCAAAGTTTTTCAAAATGACGAATCGTTTGTATACACATATGTTGACACAGGTACAATTATAAATGCACATGACCTAATTAGGTACTTGTAGTACAGGTTGCAAATTCGATAAACGCTGCGACATTTTATCAGCACCAACTGAGTTTAGATTTGTTAATCCTATATAACACAAATATTTACATAATCACAAAGTTTATACAAAATAAGTCTTTCTCATATTACCGGGCCTCGTGTTCGACATGGGTATTTGTTGAGCAGGCCTTAAAGGTCGCTCTTCACACTGATGGTTATCTATAGACACATAACTATGGTGATGGGGCAGTCGGTCGTCGGGACGACCTTCACTGCTGGCCACAGAGCACGTCTCGTCTTCAGTGCTCCGCGCAGACACTTCTGCGCTAGCACTGGTGGAGTGCATGGGACTAGACATCATTAAAATAGGAGGGGCCATCCCATACTTGTACCAGGGGTCGTGGGACGTCGGCGGCGCCGTGTACCTTAGATTACCATGCCTCCCGAAGCCCTCCCGATTGCCACACTTACTATTACTCGCGTTATGAAGCGTCCGATTTGGCAAAGTCACGTCTACGTCGGGTAACCGAAAATTTAGTTTTTCCCAACAGTTTTTCTCACCCCACACGATCACTGTACACGTTTTGAGCAACACTTTTAGATCTGGGTCTATATTTATGGCACTTAAGTCTGTCGTCACGAGGAATATGATTTTTTGACGTCTATGTCTAACGTTCACTGAGTTTATAGCACTTTGCACGGCCGCTTTGGATTCGAGCGAGTACCACTCGTGTTGTAAAAAGTTAATAGATAACACGATTATAAGTCGCTTCGAACTCTCCGCGGCACTAACTAAACTATCGCTGGATCGTCGCTCGATCAACTGCAGGTCCCTGTGTTGCAAACACAACGTGTGTCCCGAATTCTCCAGCTCGGAACTCACTGCACGAGTCACGAAGTCTTCGTCACGCTGATTATACACAAAGAAAGCATCGAAACGTTTATTCTTGTTGTCGTTCATGTCCTTTGGAGTCGAACTCAATACTCGGACTCCGTATCGCGAGTGCATCCATAGCTTAAAATCGTCTCTGAACATGAACAATAGAGCGCACATGAGCAACAGTATAATGGTTATAATCAATACCGCCGCGATGTATGGTATATAATTTTCTACGCCGTCATTTGATTCAATGAATAGCCGTTTTAGGTTTTCCGTTCCAGTTTCAACGGTGGTAACCTCAGTCTTGCATTCTTTGGCCACGGCGGCTATAGTTTTGTTCATGGACTGGCCGTGAGCAAAGTAGCACATCATGCTCTCGGTGTCTTTCGATTTTTTTATAAGCCACTGATTCAACTGAGCTACATCTTTGCAATCGCATATCCAATTGTTGCCATCTACGGACACACGGGTGCGAGGATTGTTGTCAGTAATGACTCTCCATGGCATATAATCAGCGTACCCGTTATTGTCAAGGTCCAAGAACTCAAGTGATGGTAAATAATTAAACGTGTCGTTCTCTATGACTCTGATTTGATTACTACTCAAGTACAATTCGTTAAGGTTCTGAAGCCTGGTGAATTGCGTGTTTCTCAAAATTTCTAAGTTATTATTCTCTAGATGCAGAACTCTCAACGACTCGATCCCGTTAAATGTTTTATTTTGTATTGCGTTAATGTTACTATTATTTAAATAAAGTACTTGTAACCTCTTTTTGCCAATAAAAACGTGATTTCCTAATTCTTTGAGATCGTTTCCGTCCAAGTAGATTTCAGTCGCGTCCATTGGTATTTGTTCTGGCACGTGATCGTAGCCGGCGCTCGAACAATCGACTACGTTGGAGTTCCAGGTGAGATCGTGATAACACATACATTTATCTGGACAAGTCATCTTACAATCACAGGCATCGAAGTCACAACAATGGCACAGAGTAAAACAGTGCGATTCGTACTCGCATAAGAATTCCGACGATTTGACTTCTAGTAAAAGCATATCAAATTCGCTTCGAGAATGAGTTAAAGAGCATCTCACACTTTCTAAATCCATTACTCTAGGGCGTTGCCGAGCGTCACTTATTTGGTTAATTCGCTGTAACCACTCCATTGTACAGTCGCACTCAAATGGATTCTCGCTGATATAAAATTCGGGCAAATCTTTATCTTCTGACACCGACGATATCGCAAAGGCCCCGACGTCCAAAGTTTTAATCTTATTGGAATAAAGCATGACTTTATTGAGGTTGTATTTTTGAAGAAACGTGCCAGGGTTAATTTTTTCAATGTGATTATTATTTATAACCACTGTTTCGATGCTACTGGGAAATGAAAACTCGTCTATATTTCTAATTTTGTTAAAACTCACATCTAACATTTTCACATTACACGTTTCTTTCACTCCATATGTGTCTTCGAGCCGCTCTATTTTATTTTCATGCATGTCTAACCATTCGAGGTTTGTTGGTATATGGCTGTAATCAAACCAAAGTAATTCATTGTTCGACACGTTTAACCAAACAAGAGGTTGCGTGTTCGTGAATATGCCCTTTAAATCTACTAATTTATTACCATCGAGACCGATAGCTTTCAACTGAGGGTTCGACGCAAAAGCACCATCATCAATTTGGTCAATGTTGTTCGAAGCCAAATTTAGTATTTGCAAAGACGGCAAAGCAGCGAATGTATCTTTCGATATTTTTTCTATTTTGTTGCCCACAAGACGTAATCCATATAAATCATCCAAGCCTTCGAAATGCGTCGTCGACACCTTAGTTATTCTGTTCATGCCCAAGTCTAGAGAAGTTAAAAATCTCAACGTTTTTATAGCTTCCGGTACTTCTGATAACTGGTTACCACTCAGGCCCAAGTCGTGGAGCTTCGTTATGTTTTCAAAGGAGCGCACGTCCACTTTTGTAATCCTGTTTCCATCGAGAAACAATTGATTCAATACGTATAAGTTGGAAAAATGACTTGTATCAACCTCAATTATGTTATTATGCGCTAATGACAAAGAGTGAAGGTTTTTCAAATTAGAAAAAGCGCCGTCAGCTATTCGCGCTATGTTATTGAATTCGAGACTCAAGAACTGTAAATTGTTCAAATCTTGAAACAATAATGCGTCTATCTTTGTTATTCTGTTATGCGATAGATTCAAAACAATCAAACGCACTAATCCGGAGAACGTGTCTCTGTTGACCCACTCACTTGTCAGTTCATTAAAAGACATGTCCAATATTTGTAACTGATCTAATCCCTCTAACAATCCGGGAGCAAGGACACTCAAAGAGTTGTTATTCAAGTATATTTGTTTGATATCTCTTGACGACTGAAACATCTCAGGAGGCAACCCAGTCAAGGCATTTGTTGACAGATTTAGTATTTGCAAATCACTTAATCCCACAAAAGCACGGTCCGCGACGGAGGATATTCTATTGTTTTGTAAAAGTAACTTTTGAAGTGCGCGTAAACTCGATAACCCATTGTCTGGTAAAGCACTAATTTCGTTGTGAGACATATCCAAAGTTTCTAACACTGTGTTGCACGATTTTCCTGGCGCTGTGGGGCCGTTTCCCCAATCCGAAAATCCCAAGTTCGAAATATCCTGCAGACGGTTCTGAGTAATGTTAAGTTCTTTTAAGTTGTAAAGTGGACAGAATATTTCAGAGGGTAAAATCCAGATGTTGTTATCACCCAAGTCCAAATATCTCAAGTCTGTCAGACCTCGAAATGAATCACGATGGAACTCCATGGACATCGCTGACCAATCGGTATTGTGCGTCCGAATAGTCAGGCTTCGCAGTCCGCTTAGCGGCGACAACACTGCGGAAGGCACGTATCTTATTTTGCACGACTCTATCTTCATCTCTTTTAAATTGTGAAACCGTGAGAGAAGTTCAGTCCCCTCTTCCTTCCGTCGGCCGACATCCAAGGAGCTTTCAAAAAGTAACACATCAGTGCAGTGAAGATCTAACGCCGTAATCCGTTGCGCCTGCGATGTACTAAGACCGGCCAGGAGGTCGGTTGCGCCCGCGGCGGTGCGCAGAGAACACGCGAGCTGCACCCTAGTGGGCTCACCCGCGCCGCCCGAGACTCGCTGCCACTCGCACTCTTGAGGAGCCTCCGACACTCGGCTCGTCAGGGAGGCCGCACTCACACCCGAACACATCCAACCGCACCACAGCGTAAATAATCCCAAAGATAACATTTTCATTTCTACACTAGAACCGGCACTAATTATAAAGTCACTTTTTGATACGGGCACATTTCTAAGTCATCCAACGGCACGCGGAAAACTTTACAAAGTTCACGTCAAACTTGTTCCGATGTGCGACACATAACGGCCGAAGAGAGCGCTGTGTGTTACATAACCGCTCTCGCCAAAGTTCGAGGGACGACTGAGTGACGGCGTGAGTTCGGCAACTTGACCGACCGGCTGGCGGCGTGCTCCCCGCGCTCACGCTCCTCCCCAGACAGAGAGGTGCGACGCCTCTCGCTCGCACCCATCAAAAGTTGGAAACGCAACAAGTTGCTCACCGCGAGATTGGCATGAACAGGAGCGCGCTTCGCGAGCTTTTATAAACATGGCGCTGCTTGCTTTGTTTGTTTTGCGTTAATCATAAAAATTCTATCGTGTAATATTATCTCGTGTAATATCTTTGTCGAGGTGAATGAAAATTATAATCGAAAACGTCGAGTTATGCGGCGGAGAAATGTTAAGTCAAGTAAATACTGTATTTTACTAGCATAATACTAACTTAAACGTTTAAAAGATATTTATACTTAAATCTTCTTTTACAATAAACAAGACAAAGCTTTATTTTTACTCAGTACGTATTTACAGCGTACATTTATCTTAATACAAAGTAAATCAAAATAACAATAATACACTATAAATTAAGATGGTAGAATACACAATACAGGCGATAGGTACGTTTATTTTTAATTTTGTTTTTAGATACCTAATGATTACAATTCCGCATCGTGCCATTTTGTGGAATTTTGTGTTTAAACTTTAATTACTGATAAAAGTTACTTAGTAACTCTTAGAGGTTAACTAATTTAAAGTGGGTTAGACATAAATTATAATTAGTTTTTATGACAAATTGCGTGACTAATTCCCTTATTCACTGTTTAAAATCCTTTATCAACATTCCCACACCTGTGAACACCGAAATAGATTAACACTTATCTAAATACATATATCCGTAAATTCCTTATCAACGGAGCATGGCAGACGACTTATTTCCTGTGGCTTTTGTCTTGTCCTACCTGTGAAAATGACGCATTCGGAGATAACTTATCGTTTAGCCCTGCCAAAACATTTAAGGGCATTATTTGCAATCCTTTTTTGATTGAGAAAAAAAATAGAGCGACTTACTTGACATACCCAGTTAAGCTATGGGGTAGTTTTTTTACATATACTTACGGTTTCTTTGGTTATTCGTCATACTGTCTTTAATTTATATTATATTGTGTTTTAATTTAAGGTCTACTTAGTTCCTATAGCCGAAAGTCATTTTCTTTTTTGTTTAATAGTATAAACATACAAATGATTTGTGTTTGACATATAAATGAATTACTGTTTGTGACTTTTATTGAAAAGTACGTATGTTACTTTTTATGTGTTTAGTACACACGTACTGTTTCTTTGGAATATTATTGTGAAATTTATATATATTGTGCATTAAATTTCGATGCGTTGCGTATTATTTTTTAAATACAAAATAAAAAAAAATAGTTAAAATTCTAATGCATGGTATAAATTTCACTGTCTCTTCTTATGACTTCATATCACAATATAAGCATTTGAGTCATCGCACCATGACATTACGGATCTACAAAATTGGTATTTAACGTTTTTAAATATTAAAAAAGCACAGAGGTGCATTCATTAAAGCCATTCGGCAAACATGAAACGCATTTGTACTTCGACTAAAAACAAAAATAAAAATTATCAAATAGAGATCGGAACGCGATTTGTAAACACAGGAAACGCGAAAAGGTTTGATATCGATTGGGGAAAGTTTAAGGACGTGCTTATGGCGGGAACTTTAATGTTGATTTGAAGTGCAGCGAAGTATATAAAGACGGATTGTTTATTAGACTTAATAGACAAGTGGTTGTCATTTGGTAAATAATTGGTCTACTGCGGTGACCAATTATTTTTTACTAGCTGTGGCTGCGACTTCGTCCGCATAGAATAGTTATTTGGGGCACCAAAATATGTTTTTGCAACCACGCTGTTATGTTGTCTGCGTTCTGCTGTTATTGCAAGTTAATTTTAAAAAATAAGACATACAAGTGCGGACGCAGCGTTATGTTTTATACCATCAAAATCCTTCCTCGATAAATCCTCTAAATAACACAAAATGCAAACCTGTTCTTGAGATAAGAGCGTTCAGACAAACAAACTCTTCGGCTTTATAATATTAGTATAGATGTAGTCTAAGATGTGTCTTTATATTTTTTATATTATGCTACTAGACAAACCATAGACTAAACCACAAAATGGTCTGGGAGTTCTTTTAACAAAAAATAAAAGTATGGAAATCTTATTTTTATGAACTTTATTGTACAAATTACCTATTACAAACTAAAACATATTACTGGCATGTATTTTATATGGAAAATGTAACTTTCAACCAACTTATGACTGCTAGGTGTCAAAGTAAATTACTGTTAAATTCAGTGTCTATTCTGTCTGTCTGTTATATTCTTACGTGTCCACATACATTTTTTGTAATATATAATACCTAATAGTAAAAATGACTAGCTTTTATCGAAATTAACTTGATATTAGGTAAATAAAAAATAAAATTACGTGTTTAATCTAAAATCAAAACAAACGAACAATGTCGTCAGAACATCAGGTGACTGTTCTCACTCAGGAAGCTGTAAATCTTGACGGCACAGAGCAACTCTTTGGTACTCCGCGAGAAAACCATCTTAGAGAGAACCCCACGTTACTTTTATAGTTTTTTATACCGTAGAACAGCTAAACCATTGATGGATATCATTTCTTTTTACCGCCTCCGGAACGGACGTTAAGACCAGTACCTAGTATTGCTTTAAAGATCCTAGGTTTGAATCCCAGGTAAACTAAATAGAGCAAATAAATCTTAACTATTAACTATGTACTTCAGTATAATTATTAAATTAGATAATCTATTATCTGTTAGCGTCTTATCACATAACGCTAAAAATTACTTTGTTTGTTAATGTCAATAACTACAAATTATACCTACGTTTACAGCAATAGAAAGTATTTCAAGTAAGCTTATTTAAACTGGTAAATAGTTTAATTAGAAGTAAAAAAAGGACAGTGATAAGGTAATTACTTTAAGTAAACAAGTGAAAAACAAAAAAATAATAACATCAGTAAAACTTTAGATCTTAGATCCCTAGATAGATTATTCTACCCCAGAGCGGGTTGATGGGCTGAAACTATTGTTACATTTAGTAAAAACAAAAGATGATGATTATCTTAACCTACACTACGAAGCATGGGGTGATGAAAATTTAAATAATATGGTTTCATCAAAAGCAAATATGGCTGAAGAGTGATATTAAAAATTTTCTGAAACATGTGGACTTCGCCTGGAAATCTGGATATTAAATTGGTGATAGAAATATAGAAATTCCTTCCTAGTCACGCACCACCATTGCAACACATGAAATTGATTTCGGTCTGTGGATTTCCGAATATCCAAAGCCAAAATAGGTCCACAACACATCTTGTTGGGATGCTATAGGCTGGGGTATATCATCTACCATCAAGTGAACCAAGCCTGTCTATCCTCGTCTATCATAAGATACGAAAAACAAAAGAAGAAAGGAGACAAAAGTCGAGACATTATTATAGCGACGAAAGAGATCTCACTATATTGGTTGCTGTAAGTGGAACCGCTGAAAATATTTAATCTACTTTTTACGAGCGAAGCATCCTGCCCCGTTATTCAGATAATGTGGACCATTTTTTCTTGTACACTCTAGATGTAACCATAAATCATTGATGACTAACTCGTTTGTTAATGATCAACTAAATCATTTATCATCTCGGTTTACTCGTGTATAGGTATGATAATGAAGAGGTAAGTCGGTTTATTTTAAACTTACTTATCTAGTTGACTGTTTATTTTTATTTTTGTCAAATTATAAACCTTACTTTAGCTTTGATTTAAGGTGCCTTTTAAGCAAAATTCGTAAATAACAAGTATTAGATATTAATACAATGTCAGTTACTGTTTTTAACAGGATTGTAGGAGACAAAATTTTGTATTCGATTTACTTATCACATTTAAAAGCAAGTATTTTAAACCGACTTCTATGCTATGCCACTATCGAAACTATTTAATATTTATAGTATTCGAACACAGGACCTCTCGCGGTTAACGCGATAAACTTGTCATTACAACCATTGAGTCAAAGTCAAATGTGATAAAACGAGTGAAAGTTAGGTATATATACTTAAAATTAACATAGTTTAATACAGAACAAACCCAATTCGTATCCTTAATTAACCATACTCGATAAAATTGTAATGTAACATACAGACATTACAAACTTTACATATATGAACATTAGTATTTTTTAAATAAGTAAAACAGTAGACGCATACTGTCTATAGTTTACGCGAGTAGTACACATTTAAATAAAACACTTTAACGGTTTAAAACGCGATATATTAGTTAAACTTATTTGAAAATAATTTTCAAATAAGTTTAACTAATATATCGCGTTTTAAACCGTTAAAGTGTTTTATTTAAACAGTAGACGCATTCCAATCTTCATTCAAGCTTTCCGATTACAGACAGTAATAAATATTAAACGGATGCACCTCATTACGTCTCTTTGTCACTGCGCCTGCGTCGAAAAACAACATGTGATTTTGATCGCCATAACTAACCACATTACTGTTAAATCCAGCCAACTGTTCGTATGTCTATCGATAAATGGGTATTGTGCTGCAAAAAAGCATATCCATCGGTGTCATGTGTGACTCCCCAAGGATCGGTAACGACAAAATATTTAGGCAGTAATGGTTTTGTAAAGCATTAAGATCGCATTGTTGTGGCTTTCGGGGACTCGCCAAATGCGCATCGTTTAGTGACAATAACTATGGAACGATGCTTTGAATTATTGATAGATTTGAGAAATGTTTTTCATTCGTAGAATGTTTCGGGATAAAGAAATATCAACAGAAGGAAATTA